CCCCAAAACCCCAAAACCCCAAAACCCCTTGATGTCATTTTTAAATATCAAATAAGTAAAATGATTATAATGGATTTAACAGTAATCAAATTTTAGTGATTAAGTAATTGATTGATAATTCTAGCAGCCTTTTCTTATTCATAACTATAAATCAGCATTATTATTTGCTGGTTATATTCTAGGGGTCTTAAGAAACATCACTAAAAACTTTAGGTTAAATATGAATGATTTTAAATTATAAATATTTGATGTGCTAAAAATATAGTAGTAATAACTTACGTGTCTTTTTTTCATCTGGTTTATACTTGCTGAGCAGGGACTAAAATGAGCCGAAATCCGGTTTCTTGATGTCTTTAAAATCGCCTAATGATAATCTCTACTTTCTCTTAATTTTATTAAGAATATGCAAAGCCTTATCTCTATCAGTCATATTTACAGATTACTTAATAGAAGGCAGTAAAGTTTCACCATTCTTTTTGTAGACTTTCTCTTCTTTGTTAGGGGATGGGTCAGACTCTTTCCTAAAAGATGTATTCGTTGTTTTAGAAGCGGGGATTTGCATAAATGCATTAGCAGACGAACTTTTGTTAAGAATGCTCTTTTGATTTAGCTTTTTAAATTTCTTTTCCCCTAATTTCAAAAGCTTGAGTCGTTTCCTTTCATATTTGGCATCATCAGGAATAATTTAGCTTTTCTCTTGTATTTCTTTAATTCTCTATTATAAATATGGCTACAATACCTGGATGCTAGGTGCCTCAGGCTGAAATTTCTTAAGATAAGGTAAAGACCCACTTCTCATTTTACTTAAATAGCTGATATCATTCTTATGAACTAATATTTAGGAGTCATTTAAAATATCCATTCCGCCTTATTTATTACCCTTTTTATTTCCTTTAGAGTCAGGTTCTTCGCCGAATGTTGACTGTCTATTGAGTATCATATTATCTAGTTGATCGTCAACAACTGTAGATGTGCTGCTCTCTTTGACTCTTGGTAAGGTTGATCTCATATTATACAGCAAGTCTCCTCCAAGTAGTGTATGCTACATAGTTGGTAGTTTCATAGTCTGTATCTAGATAGCACTATCATAATTACTTCCTGTCTTTTTTAAAGTCTATTTCCTTTACTTTTGCTTTAATCTAGGTGTACTTAGGCTTTCATAAATAGCATCCTATTTATTCTTCCTGTGCTCATTCCTAAGCTTCCTTTCATCATCTATCGTCTTTCTATCGATTGATCCTTCTAAGCTATCATTGACTGTGATAATCTTCTTTTTCTTCAGCTCCTCTTGATAGTCAATAAGATATCTAGGCTTTTTGTCAAAAAATATTGACTTGTACATATGAATTCGATCATTGACTTATTCCAAAAGATAGTAAAAATCAGTCGCTTTCGCTTTTTCTTGTCTCAATTTAATTGCATTCTCAATGTTCTTCTGCTACTCTACTTCCTCTTCAGTTAACTTGCCTGCAAACTAACTATTTTACATGGATTTTCTTAGTTGCTCCTCAATTGATTACTTTTCAAAGACAGTTTCCTAATTTTAGCTGATTTTAATCTCTCCTTCAGCAGTTAGTTCAATATCAAGCGTCGTCTTTTTCTTTTTTTTCTTTGGAATAATTACTTTGGGCTTGTCTTGTCTATTAAACATATTAAGAGGAGACACATCCTTCTAAATTTTAATTAGTTATAATTAGTTTAGAAATGTACATTTTAGGGTATTGAATGATGCTGTTTATCCATAGTTAAAATTAAAGTTTACGCAAGAAAAAATAATTTATCAAATATTTATTATTAAACTTTTTTACTTTCTTATATTATTGCTTTTTGGTAAATTAGATGCTAGGGGTTTTGGGGTTTTGGGGTTTTGGGG